CCAACTGAATTAATTTCTGTGTGAGAGTGTGACTCTCTCTAAAACTAAATTGGGAACACCATCAACGTCAAAAAGCCGCGTTTGAGATATATTTGTCTGATGAGTTACCGACTTTGACTGTGCTTTATTCTACGTACGGACCACGTACAGCTTGTCGCTTCTGTTACGTTGGGAATTCCAGGTGGGAATTTATTCCAACAAACGTGCGAATAAACGGACATCTTTCAGCTAACCAGAAAACCGTGATTCAACAACAACAACCGCCGCCGAGACCGGCTAGCACGCCCACGGAGACCCAGCAGTCCGTGCTGACGAGCGTGCAGCAGGAAATGGCCGCTCGTAGGAAGGCCAACATTTCGCGACAGGACTCGAGGCTCTCCGTCAAGTGTCTGATCGAGAGTATCGAGAACGCCACGAAGCAGGCTAAAGCTGGTAAGACTGTGCAGAAATTGTAGAATCCCGAGTTGACTGTTTCTGTGATTGGTTAACGCATCTGATTTCACCAACGTCGATTAAACCTTGATCTAATCTCGGTTTGAATTCTCTTCAGACGGCAACTTACATTCAGGTTAAGGGGTAATCGATGTCGATGAAATCGGGTATTACAAAATTAATTTCGGAAAGCATGAAAAGCGATCGTTGACGCGTGTAAAAACTTAAAGGAAACTAATCGATTATTTTTTAGGACCTGGCAGTCGTAGCAGCTCCACGTCATCCCTAAATTCGATTGGAACCAACGACATCATGACCCTGAAGGCGCCCCTCAGGGACCAGCAGCAGATCAACAATCTAATCTGCACGGCGAATTCGACGAATAACAATAAAACACAGTCAACAATTGCGAGGAAATCAGCGTCAGGTAACTTTCAGTTGAAGTCTCGCATGAAGCGAGACCGAAGTTGTGACGACTCGCGTTCTCGTTACAGAGACGAAATCATCACCGGTGGTTCTGAGTCCTGGCGAGCTGTTGGATTCGGCCGCGTTGAACGCCAAGGCGATCGACTTCGTTCGTCGGAACAGCGTGACCGATCTCTCGGAACGCAAGGACCCGCTCTGCGGTTTAGTCAAGAACGGAGGCTCGAAGCGCAACGCCTTGCTCAAATGGTGTCAGAATAAGACGATAGGTTACCGGAACATCGACATAACCAACTTCAGCAGTTCGTGGAATGATGGCTTGGCGCTGTGCGCGATCTTGCACTCTTACCTACCGCGCAAAGTGCCGTACGACACTCTGACTCCGGTCGAAAAGCGGCGCAACTTCTCGATCGCCTTCTCCGCCGCCGAGAGCGTCGGTATACCGACAACCCTGGTAAGTCCATCATCGGTCGCAATGAGAGAGTCTCTCGAGTAAGAGTCTGGACATCATTTTGATTAGACATCCGATTTTTACTGCTAGAATATCTATGAAAGAGTATTTGCAATATATCGAGTTTAGGCACATTTTTCTAAGGATATATACGTGATTGATCTCATTATAAATAGTATTATTTATAAAAATAGATTCTACGATTCCTTCAGAGTATTTTCCATTATTTTATTATGATTTATTCCTTCCTTCTCTTATTTATAATAATATTTAGTTTACAAATCGAGTTTCTTTATTTGACATTCCTTGGTTCCGCATTTTTTATCAAATAGAGAACTAGAACTAGATCAGTTAGTAATCCGAGATGTCCAGACTCGAGGAACTTTAAGTCGCAATCTGTTTTCCGACATTCGGGAAAATCTTACAAATTTTGATATCTTTACTCTAAATTCCACCTTATTAATACATTGAGCTTCGGAATCTTACAAGAGAGGTGTTAAAGAATCCGATGACTAGATCCGCGCAATTGTGTGCGAACAATCGACTTGAATGAAAAACAAAACTTTCCTCTTCGCAGAACATAGACGAGATGTGTCAGCTCGAGCGGCCTGATTGGCAACAAGTCATGACGTACGTGACCAGCATTTACAAGCACTTTGAGACGTAACTGATGACATCGTCCCAGTATCGCCTGATAGTCGGGCACGTCCTACCTATAATATATCTACAGAACGGTCTTGGGGTCGCGAGAGGCGAGCGAAGGGAAGAACAACAACATCTAGTCAACTAAATTCGATAGGACGAGAGAGGAAAAAAACGGGGAAAAAGGGAGAAGTACGCAGCAAAAACGTCCGGAGATATCTCGGGGATCGCTGAATTCGCACTGCCTACTATATACTAATCGTACTGCCTTGTATACGCGCTGTATATATACATATGTAATTCCGAAATCGTAAAAATCTACGGCCGCTGGATTACGTGCAGAAAGCGAAAGAGAGAGATAGAACTCGATCGAAGATGAAACACCAAATGGAATTGCTGTTACTATGAGACTGAGAAACTTATATACATACATACAATACATACAATACGTATATAAATATATGTATCGTGCGCGCGCGCGCGCGCGTGCGTGCACTTTATAGCAACACGAGCGGTGAATTTTTCTTGATAAATTTCGGGAGAGAAAGCAGGATTTCCCGCGTGTCTCGCGAAAAAAAAAATGAGAGGAAGGTGATAGATGGAAAACTGCAAGCTTTGCGAATAGTTTTCACTAAGCAGAACGACAGAAGACTCTGCGCGTGTGAGAAGTGACAGACGCAACACACACGTGTATATATATGTACACACACACATACATAAAATCACATGCCCACCACGCCTCCGCATCGTAACATATTCATGTTGCACGTTTTGCAAAGAATCGAGTATTTGCGTTCCTCGTATCGTGAGTATTTTTGTACGTGTATTATTTTTCGAGAAACTTTTTTGTAAAGTTCGTAAAAAGAGAGTGTACAGAACGAAGCGCCTTATAATTTAAGATATCTAATTTATTGCAATTAGTCGTATTTTAGCCGCTCTTACCGANGAGAGAGAGAGAGAGAGAGAGAGAGAGAGAGAGAGAGAGAGAGAGAGTCCCCTGGAAAGTGGGGAAAAAAAGAAGAAAGGGAAAATCGTGTTTTGCATTTCATATTTTGCACGCTGATGTGGAAGAAAAGAAGCAGATTTACACGTCGCGCGAAGGTTAAGTTCTCTGTGATATAGCGAGATAGCCCCGAAAACAGAGATACAGATATTGTCGTTATCGCTAATTACTACAATTATACTCTATCACCGCTATGATATACTATCGTCCTCATCGTCATTGTTGTACTATCGTATAGACAACACGGACACGCTGTCTGATGTAAAATAAATAAACTTGCCTAACGGATATCTCTCAGGTCTCGCTGACTCAAATCGATTCTATCGCGCCATATCGAACACAGTTTACCTAACATTTTGACTGCTATAAGGATGACGAGTACCACTTTATCTATTGCCACGTCTTATTAAATGTTTTTTTGTTGCGCTAAAATTTAATTTCTTTTTCTCTAAACATTAGGTTTGAATGGGAAATTAAATCATTGGTGTTATATTACTATTAGTTGGTGTTTACTACCGGGATCAAAATTCTCGGCTATGTTGGATGGATTCGATCAAGTTACTTTCTCACTCATTTCCAAGAAATGATGTCGAGTCGCCTCGTAATATATTTGTAATTTCTAAACTCCTCGGTGTCGGTAACAATACAAAGCTAGATGAATTAGAGATTCTTCATGCTATACATACAACGTACTTTCCTCGAAAATAGATTCGCCGAAAATGATTTCAATGAAGACAAGCGAGACTTGCCTCGGGTTGTAAGTATGTTCGAGCTCAATGATGGTACGTTCGAAATTAATGATCGCATTAAGAAAAGATGCAGATATATATTGCCGACACGCTTTCTCATAAATGCGATAAAAATAATTTTAATTGTTTCTAGAGCTGATTGACAGTGTTGGAAGAAGGCGATGTGAGTAACGATAGATATTTGGAGTACGTTGAATACGAAATAAGCGGGCAAAGGAATCATGTCGCATAAGAGAAACGCGGCAAGCTCAGTATCGAACGTGAACATTTCTATTTAGCCGAAATACAAGTAAAACTTATTGCAATTATCATTTAAGTTGATTTAACACAAGTTTAAGAACAAATTTATAGACCGGAAGTTACTAAACAGTGAAATTGTCTTATACGTTAAATTCCGTAATTCCTAGTCTGCAATAGGTGGTTAAGCCTTAAGAAATTGACCAATCACAATCGAATTAGAAGAATAATCAGTTGTGATTGGTCAATTTCTTAAGGCTTAAAATTCTATTGTAGATTTAGCCTAAGTGTCGGTCTATAATCGGTATTTTAAACCTTAAGCCTTAAAATACTTATTATAGACCGACACTAAAGCGAGGTCGATAATATGAAAAATTTAAGATGTTATGGCTTCTGCCCACAGGACGCGGCAACGTTTGCCGCAAGTTCACGCGGTAGCCAATAAACTTCTAGCTCTTATCGAAAAACGGCATGTTGATTAAAACCTATCCTCAAGGTGGGCAGCCAATGAAGTGAATTGACAAATGTACGCATCGCGAATTGCATGTATTTATCTGTCTCGATCGTGGTAATTCGAATTTTAATCAAGAATTGAAGTAACCGATGAAGATTATCGCGTGGCAGTTACAGTGTCGCTCAAGAGAAGTTGCTTCCTCTTCCTGACATCCGTATCGGGTAAACAAGCTCACCTGAGATCCACGCGCGTTTGCTCAGCGTCTTTTGCACGTTGAAGAACGCGACCACAGTGCTAATATAAAAATGTATGCTTTATTATTGCCATAAATCGGATCTCAATTTGTATGTACATTGTATTGTATTTACAGACTTGTCAAGTCAGGTTGAACGGTTCATTGCGTCCGGATCTACAATAGATATAACGAACCTTTTGCTCCAAGCGATCAAATATAACGTAATTCCCAATAAAAGGCGTAACATAATAACGCTTAAATCTGAGGAATTGTGGCGATAGTGTTGGAAATGCTTCTTGCCAGAAATCACGTCACGATTTAATATTTACGAAAAAGACTCAAGGTTTATTACACCTATTGTAGATCCAGCCTGAGGGCTGCGGCACATAGAGAAACACGAGCAGTAAGCAAATTGAGCCTCCACAATCTATTATTCTTTTACCGCAAAGAGAACCGTCGACTGTGACGATCAGTTAATTCGCTGATCGCTCACGTTTTTCTGCGTGCGCCTAATAGTCAGTACATTGTCTTATCTGGTACATATGTATAGAAGAAGCCTCGGGGAGGTCGCTACTCCCGAGACTCTCAGTCGAGTGATTAACCGTAAAACGTGTGTCGGCCGAACAAGATTGCGTCTAACAGTTTAGCCACCTCTGACGAAAGCACAGTGGCGTCGCTCTCTCGTCATCACGTGTCGCTCGCGTCCATCTTATCCTGATCTTTGTCGCCGGAGTAATACTCGTTCGCCGGCTCGACGATTTTGTCCGTGTCCTGTACGTTCTGCCGGGAGTCCGGATCCGGTTCCGGTTGCCGCTCCTCCTCCGGCGGCAGCGCGTCGCATGGGACGTCCTGCATCTGCACGCTTGGCGAGTGCTGGATCATCTTGAGATTGTCGCAGACGTGCCGCGTGATCGCCTCGAGGTACTGCTTAGAGTTGGCGTTGTCCTGCCTGGTGACGACTTCCGGATGAAGCGTGAAGTCCGGCGCGAAGTACTCCAGGTATTCCGTATACGGCAGCTCATTGCTGATCTGCTCATCGACGAGCAGCGAGGTCTCGTAGGTCCAGCATCGGGCGACGTTGCGCAGAGTATAACCGCCACCGCCGACCGTCAGTAACGGCACGTTCAGGTCCCTCACGAACTTGACGCAGTCACCGTGGCCCTTGGTGCTGAGGCTGAAGCAGCCGAGCCTGTCGTTCGCGAGGGAATCGGCGCCGCACTGGAGCACGATCGCCGTCGGCTGGAAGAACTCCATCACGTGCGAGATGACCGGCTTGAAGACCTGGACGTACGACGGGTCGTCGATGCCCTCCTTCAACGGCACATTCACCGAGTAATATCGGCCGCTCTCGGCGCCGATCTCGTACATGTCGCCGGTGCCTGGGAAGAAAAAGTTACCATACTTGTGGAAGGACACAGTCATCACCCGGTCGGTCAGGTAGAAAGCCTCCTGTACACCGTCGCCGTGATGCACGTCGATGTCGATGTACAGAACCCTGGCGTGATACTTAAGCAGCTCCAGGATGGCGATGACGATGTCGTTGATGTAGCAGAAGCCGGAAGCCTCAAACTTCTTGGCGTGATGCAGACCACCGCTCCAGTTGATGGCGATGTCGCAGCAGTTGTTGTTCAGCTTGGTGGCGCCTTCCAGGGATGCGCCGGTGTACATGGAGCAGAAGTCGAACAGGCCCTCGAACACCGGACAGTCGTCCCCCACGTTGAAGTGGCTCAGGTACTTGGTGTAGCCCTGCAGATTCTGCGGCGTCACCCGCTGCAGAAACTCCACGTATTCCTCCGAGTGGAAGCGGCACATGTCGTGGGTGCTCGCGCGGTACGGACGGTAGATCTGCATCTTCTTGTGGAGACCGTAGTTCAGCACAAGACTGTGGATCACGGACAACCGATGGGGCTTCATCGGGTGACCCGGCCCGTAGTGGAAGTTCCCCACGTCCGGGTTGTAGAAGTACGACACCTTCTTGTTGTAACCCATGATGTGAGGTTAGCCCGAACAAGTCGTTCTCGTTGAACGCACGTCGAGGTTAGACGCTTTTGTTCCTCGTGGAGGATGGAAAGAGGAACCGCATATTTACCCGTCCAGGCGAGACGTTGTACACCGTGAAGCACCGGGATTCACATTTCAACGATATCAGTCGCGCGCGAGAGTTATTTGCCGGTTGATGTTGTTTAAGTTAACTGACAGCCCGCGTCATTCGCGAGACTTCGCGATAGGCGGCTTCGTTCTTCCGTTTGGCTCCACGCACGGTTTCACAAGTAACACCGCTGCATCAGAACCCCCTACGTTCGTTCGTTTTAGCTGAACTATCTGTACGAATTCAGAAAGTGTAGACCAAAATGAAACTGGTCACGTTCACGTATCTCTATGCGTTCACGGGTATTCAGTGCAACAGTTGACATGAATTGGCTGCCTTAGTGGCCTGTTCTTTTTAGTTGCACCGCTGAACTGGTGCAATAAGTTGAAATGAGACAAGTATTTGTTTTCTTACTTCAACTTATTGAATCAGTTCAGTAGTGCAGCTAAAAAGAACGAACCTATTGTCCGGCCTGCTCTAACAGGCTTTCCTACTACGTGCAAGTATATTTGTTTATATTTATATATTTGTATATTATGTTTTTTTATAGCCTCGCTACAACACATGTAGCACTCGTCGTGGCAGTGATTCACTTTACTCTGAACTTTTCGTCGTAAGGACGTTTGCATTGTTCAATGATGCTCTCGTCAAGCGGTATTAACAACGAAGAAATATTAATGAGTCTTGATTCTTGGGGCGACGAAGTATTTTCGAATCTTACACCTCGAGGTATTATTAAATATTATGTATATATATATATACATATATATATATATATACAGCATTTATATATATATGAAGCATTCAAATATCTTCAAGATAGAGTACACCAAACATGTATCTTAGTGCCTCGTGCTGAGAAAATTTTATTGGAAAAGTATTGTACTTTATTATTCTTCTTTTTTATTATTTATTTATTGTTCTCCTATCAGGAATAATTTAGAAAAATTAATATATAGTGCTCAAGAAAATAATAGTTAAAAATGATATTGTGGTTAGGTTAATTAGTATTATAGTTATATAGGTTATGTTAAATTGGGAAATTCTATTTCTGTATCTCCTTTGTTTTAAGTAAATCGTGAAACAATGACAACTAAGTTCTAACTGTTATCGTGCATTATATAGTATAAAGTTAATAAATTTGTTTTGTTATTAAATATGTATTAAAGATAATTATCAGAATATTTTATTTACAGAACTTGAGTTTCATTCGCTTAGTGCGGAAGACATATCAAACATCAAACAAGATATACCTGATATTTCAATACAAGAAGGAAGAGAACAAATATCAGGCAAAGTGAGAGAAGACATTAATCCATTCGACTCATTATTATTGGCTTTTAATGAATTACAATCCTATCCTATAAACAATTATTCAGGTATGTATCAGACTATAAACTGTTAGAAATTGTTTATTCTTATGTGTATATAATTGTTTTAATTTGTAGAATTAAATGAAATAAATGAAATAAAAAATGAAAATATTAAAGTGGAGCCTCAGAGTCCATATTCACAATTCTTGACATCACCGGATAGTCTTAATGATTCTTCAGATTCCACTGCTTCAGATTGGAGATCCGAAATGTTAAAAAATTGTCTAATGCAAAATGTGGATAAGGTATACCATATGTGATATACTATATAGTTATTTTGAGAATCAAATAAGTATGAAGAATATAAAGTATGTTAGTCGCAAAATAAGTGATGCTAAAATTAATAACAAAATAGGTTTCCTATATTAATAATTAATAACAAAATAGGTTTCCTAAATTGACTAACATTGATAATAACTCATAAAAAATTTTGACACATTCACAGCTACTGATGTAGCACATGAAGCTTAGTACTATACCAGCGGCCAAAAGTGTGTTAATATGTTATTTTCTTTCAAGTTGAGAGTAAACGCAATACTCTTTTTTTAGTCTTATATGAATAGTCAGACTCTTGTAAAAAGTAACTGAAAATTATTAAGTCTCATAATACATGATATTGAGAAAGAGCCCGTGTTACATTTATAACTTTGCTTCCAGATTATTCTACAAACTCCACCAACCTCACCTCAATCTCCATTAATACAATCACCTCAATCATTTCTTAATGTGTCGAACCTCATAAAACCAGCAAACATTTTACCTGCTAATGAACGAAATATAAATCATAAAAAGGATATTCATCAGAAAACAGATTCTATTAAACGTGTTCACATTCCACTAGCCAATACAAAAGGTTTTTATGAAAGACATATTATTATGTAGATAAATAGTTATTACTATATTATTTATACATTCAATTACATTGTATATGTACATCTATATGTACATATATTTAATGTTTACAGATAAACTCCAAAATGCTATTATTCTTCATACACCAAATGGTACTGCATTCGTACAAAATACGGATTTGCAGCAAGAAATGCATACTTCAGAAATACAGACCTTGTCAACAATTGGACAAATTAGTACATTAAATTCTTTAAATATAGACACAACCAGTACAAAAACGAATAGAGCACTTCAATTATCGCAAGATGTAAAAGTAGTAAACACTATACCAAACCTTTTCCAAGAAATCAATTCGTTGGTGAATGCCCCTGTCTACATAAAGAGTGAACCTATAACATTTGACGATATTGTTATAAAAAATGAGTCGATAAATTGCGCGCCGTTTATAGTACAGAAAAATGAAACAGATTGTGCTCCGTTAATTGTAAAGAAGGAAACAGATCTAGGTTTGTCGGGAAATAAAATAGAAAATGAATCCATGCAAGCATTGAAGAGACAACAAAGGATGATAAAAAACAGGGAATCTGCCTGTCTTTCGCGGAAAAAGAAGAAGGAATACGTGCATTCTCTGGAGAAGCAATTGTCTGAGTTGAAGGAAGAAAATGAGAATCTAAAATTGGTAATTAATCTATTGTTTTTTCGTGTTGCTTTTCAGACATTTCTAAAGGGTGATCTAAGTTGTTTCTCAAGATAATATTATTATATACTTGTATAATTTTCATTTTAGGAAAATATTCGTCTGAAACAGAAGCTGATAAATATAGAAAACGGCGCTATGTTTAATAAAAGAAAAGTTGGAATTTTAAATCGTAATCGGAAGGGCATTGCTCTTTTCGCCATACTTTGCATGATATCTGTCAACTTCAATGTTTTAGGGTAAGTGCTTCCGTATTGTTTATATTTGCGTGCTGATTTTAAACTAATGCGAATTGAACCGCTACTAGTATTATTTCCACGCACACAATTCATCTCAAGAATTATTTTTGTTCTAAAAACATTTTGGATTTTCAAATTGAGCGGATTATTGTGCGTGCATACTATATTCCACAAGTACGAAAATAAAGCGTGCTGTTTTGTTTCTATTCAAGGATTCTTTCATGGAATGTAAATTTTAAAACTTTGTTTAATAAAGCACCAATATCTGTGTCAGACATTGACGAGATAAAACATAGTAGAACATTGCTCTGGACAGTAAATGAAAACAATAATGACATGAGAGATGAAATCGAAGAAAGTTTTAATAAAAACATGCCTGTGGATCAACCGGTATGTCCGAATATTAATCAAAGCGAGTCGATACGTTTAGATAGCGAGTTGAGACGTTGGATTGATGGTGAATCCGATCGAGATAATTGGACTACATCGACAAAACCAAAGTTCCTATTGTCGACCAGCTTGCCGTTAGAAGGAAAAACAAAGAGAAAGCTATATTTATCACAGGATAAAAAAATAAAAACTATGCACAAAATGATCGATGTTCCTACTGCAACGAGTAATGCAGTTCAAGTGTTTTCACCGATATTGAGTGAACATGCTTCTCTATTTGAAGCTTTGGGAAGAAAAGATGATACCTTTTATGTTGTCTGGTTTACTGGTAAACATTTACTATTGCCAGCTTCCCGGACGAATGATACAGCTAGACCTAAGATGTCTTTAGTTTTGCCTGCTGTATCTATAAAAGGTAATATTTAGGATTAAGTAAACTAATTTCTTTCTTGAAGTTAAGTTAGAAATTAATGAGTAATATAATTAATTTAATTAAGTTAAAAGTAAATTAATGTATTAAAGTTATAATTGAATTGTGTGTATATATATATGTGTGTGTGTGTGTGTGTGTGTGTGTGTGTGTAGTCTCACATAATTCCAATTTAAGTTATTTTACCCAATTCTGGTAATGTTATATGAATAATAAATGCGTTTGAGGAATAATATTAATCCGGTATACATAATATTGTGTACGCAGGGTGTTTGCTCTCTGAAAAAAATCTCAAATTCTCGAAAGAATTGTTTACATTAAAAACCAAAAGGTTCTTAGAGAATCCTCGAATTGAATTTTTTTACAAGATTTTTGAGTAAATACCCATATTTTTCAAGGATAATAATACCAATAATATTTTTCGCATATTATAAGCAAAATTTTCCTTTTAGGTACGTTTACGACACCACCTGATCATGTAACTATGATGCAAATTGACTGTGAAGTAACAAACACACAACTGTTACATTTACAACAGTCCATCATACCTGTCCATTTGCGAGATAACAAGTCTGCAAGTCAATCGAATCGATCTCACTCTGTGGAAGATATAGTCAATTCGTCCACGGCTAATATAAGAAATATTAGAAATCACAAACCATATTTTATAAAGGAAGCCAATCGAAAAGCTTTGTATGGGAAAAACTTCGAAGATAAGTACGAAGATAAAAATGTTAGGGATTTTGGTAATAAAAATGCTATTTACGTATATAAGGAAAATTTTTAGGAAATAGAGAAAGTCATGATATTCTGTAACTTTATAGAGAACTAGCTACGCAGGATTTAGAACGGCCAAAAAGTATTAATGATATTAATGTAAACTATTCGAGTATACATTACATTGAAAATGACCGATTAGTGCATTTACAAGTTATATATATATAAATATAAATTATATATATATATATATATATAATGTATACACATATAAATATTTATATAAATTTTTTATGGAACGTATGACATGATAATTGTAATATATTATTAATATATTACTATATATTAATTATAAATATCATGTGTGTTTCATAAAAATATAAAGGAAATCGAAGAGTGCAATTACATTTTCATAGATATATATAGCATACATATAAGAAAATATAATTAGGAATAAGAAAAAATTAAAATATACGAGGATAACATGAAAGATCTAAAGGATTATATACACAGTGTAGAATATATAACAATGTATGTCTTATACGTTTTTATATAAATATTAGTATATAGCATTTCATTAATTTACAATCCTCGACTATTATTAGGTTGAATAAATTTTGATAACATGGTTTTATAATAGTTCATCTTTATGAATAACGCCGATAACGACAAATCGTGATATTTAACTGTAAATTATAGTTGATTATACCAAATTTTGAGATCGACACTAGAACAGAATGCATTAAGCACTATAAAGTAAATTTAAGCTGTACAATAAACGCACATTATATTCTATTATAACGTAATGCATCTTACTCATTGTTACAAAATTGTTACAATGACTGTAGAATGTTGCGTAAAATATTCAAACTTAAAATTATTCTGATAACTCCATTAAGACCAGTAGTTTAATCCGGAATAAATTCCAATATGTCTACCAGTAAGACGGCAGTACATAATAGGGACGCATGGAAATGCACGTAATGACAAATGTTTGCCCACCCCATAAGGTAAATATAAGGAATAGAAAAAAGAAATTCAGTAAAAATTGAGAAGAAAAAATAATTATTTGACATCTTGTGGACGACACTAACATACAATTTTTTATATAAACATTCATATTGCAGCATACGGTAATAAGTTAGAAAGCTATCTTAAGTTTTATTCCTTCAATTTCTATATGAGTAGTAATATATGGTGTGAATATTTACTTATATAAATATTTATATAATATATATATAATGTTTACAATACACGTATATATTATATAAATATAGCATATATTTATAATTACAAACTTTACGCTTGTGCATAATATGTAAGATATACGCGTGTCACACAATAAATGTCGATAATGCATTCATAAGTCATTTCAAATCCGGAGTAGAATTTCCCAGATAACATCGTAAATCTGTTAATGTCGATTGTATGATTTTGGCTTTAATGCACTCTTTACCTAAACGTTGATGAGCAGCATAACGATGACAACCACCAAAAGAATAATAATAGTCGCCACCTAAATACAATCAGTCATAATTATCTTTTTCGCATGACTATGCATGACGATTATTTAATTTACTTGTGTATACATACTTACAGATTTAGAAACTAACACGTATGTTCACAGATATAAGCATAAAAATTACTGCACGAAAAGCTAGAAGCTACTGTTTTTTTTATAAATTCCGTTACCTTCCGTTCCTTTAATCCATAAGACATCGATGGGCGGTACCGTGTGTTCTGTTTCGACGTTTATCAATGCACTCATTAAACTTTGAACTTTCTCTTCGTTTACCTCGGGCAGGAATGGCCTGATAAGCACATTCATCGGAATTTCGTGCACTTCTGCGTTAACGCTCGAATGTATCGAAGTGGCTATTTGGCACGCGCCTCTACGCAACATTTTTACGGTAGTTTCGTTAAAATCACACTGCAATTTTACATGCGCATTAACTGTACGTTAACACCTGTTGGCATCTCAAAAAGTTGCGTTGGTTGCGCTCCGAGGAATGTACTGAACCGATAGCTGTTTGCGCGTGATTACGTCAGAAAGCGGTCAAGTAATCCCACTATTTCTCTCACTACCGTACATATATATCTTCGTTTACCGGTTTTCTGACTGATACAATTTTAATAATTAATTTCCTTTTTTCTAGGGCGTTTTCAGCTTATCATTTGAGAGAAAAAGAATATACGAAGTAGTGGATATATATATATTAAAAGTTATATATATAAATAAATTATATATATATATATAAATTAAAAGTTATATATATATATATCCAATCATTTATTAAAAATATTCTTATATATAAAATATCTTTTGAAACTAGATAGGCTATATACAATAACAGCTCTATAAGATTCAGAGTATAGTTTATCTTTAGTGTTTAATTTTTTACGCATATATTTTCTCTCAAAAGAGTATTGACTACATGATGAAATTACTGAAACGATCAATTTTATTTTTTTCTATATTTTATGGAAAGACGTCTAAAACTACAGGATAGATTTTTAATATTAGCATAGAAGAGGTACAGGATTCAGTCAAATATCTTCAAAATATCGACAATATGCATCACAAAAGAAATCTTGATCTTTATATAAGACTTATTTTATATTACATACATTCCTGGGAGAATTTTATAAATGCTTTTTCGATATGATATTTATGCAAATAAATTTCCACTCAGCAAAGTCACGACAGAAAATGCTGAAGATATAATACGTGAATTTTAGTTTTTATTTGGAAACTTATTTCAATTTTAGCATTGACGCATGTTCGCATGGTGCCGTGAACATCAGTTAATCTTATAATTTGTCTGTTAATCTTATAATAATCTGTTTCAAGGTACTTAAAATATTCAAAGTGTCTTATATCACCGACGGTATATATGGCAACGAGCATATTGTGCAAAAATAGCAATGTATAGCTCCGATCGATTTTTTCAATTATTACGAATTATATGTTACGAAATGGTAATAATGATACAAGTAGAAATAAAATAGTGCATTAGCACAAAACTGAACGTATACAAACAAAAATCATTAATTATTACGCTAAACAATATGAATAAAACTTTTAATTTACAAGTCAAGCTGGGTTTGACTTTCCATAATATCACAGTACTGAGTACACTAATTAAAGTGCTACACTTTGTTTCCTGCAGTTTTTCGAAATTGCACAGGCGTCCCATCATCAGTAATAAATAAGGTATGAAAACTGCCTGTAAGCATTAAACGTACGTTATATATAAATTATACACTAAATATATTTTGACAAATTATTAAAAAAGCTTACCTTCCCAAACCAATCGTCCAGTTTTAGCACTAGCAAAATATTGACAATCGCGGCTAGTATAATGAGATTTATAGGATATGATAAATATGTACATGATTTCTCGTCATATGTTTTCTCGTCAAATACTTGGTCCAAAGGCCATGTATTTCTATCGTCGATATCATTTGAAAATCTTTCATCCAATTCTTCACGTTTATTTTCATTAAATATTGAATAATGGTGCAAATGTCTATTGTTTTCAATATTACATACACCATTTTTGTTAGTATATTCTTCCAAACTTGATTTAACGCCATCATTTTTCGCTTGAGGTTTATTATCTTCTGAAATCATTTTCAAACTTATTAATCTAAGCTTAGCATCTATTTATACAATGTTAACACAGTGTTAACATTAAAGTTATTTTATTAGTAAAAACAAAAAATAATATTTATAAAAATATTTAAAAACCACCTAGTAAGCACAAATCTAAAAATTGAAAAAATTTTATTTCCAAAATATACTATGGTTCACATTTTTAACTCTTTTATCGATAAAAGTGCCTTAAATGTGGCTTATTAGTCAATCAGATGATTTCTAAGCCATTTTTAGAGATATTTTTATCGATAAAAGAAAGTTCAGAATATAGGCCTTTATGTTATATCAAAGTGTAGTATAGTTTTCTACTATCACTAATATGAGACAGATAAGTCTAACTTGGTTTTTCATAATAATTGAATATTGAAAATAATGTTCTTCTTCCTATGTATAAAACAATACAATGACTTGCACTAAAGATAATATATACATGAACTAGAGATAAAGATAATATATACATCAAATTAATTCAAAAGAATTCAAAAGAACTTTGACCAAGTATTCTCTCATTATTAATTATATATTCAAAATATTTTCCACAATATCATAGAAAATCTAATTTTTCTAATTTACTTACACATATATCATAGATATAGATATTTAAAGAGATTATCTACCACGCCTTCAAAATCACTTAAGATTCACATAATATCAGATTTTGTATAAATCTACTTAATTAATTTATTGTACTTACCTTTGTTTTCATCTGGATTTTGTCTCACAGCATTCGTATGCAAACAATCCTCCAAGTCTTCTAAACCTGTCTGTCTTCTTGTTGCTCTTTTGATGTTTGTTTCATCCACTAGATCTGATTAAATACACATCGATTATTAACATGCAGGTTTTTTTATCACATAGTCATTTAATTGTGAATTATATGTTCCCCAAACATTTCACCAAGACGCGGTAGTATCTTGCGTCAAATGTACATGGTTACATTTACCTTTGGTTTCACCTGAACCTGGACCGCATCTTGATGTAATCTTGCGTAAACGACTTTCCGAGTTTTCCAAGATTCTCCGTCTCCTCGCTTCTCTTCTGGCACTTACATCATCCATTGGTGTACTTGATTCCATTAGATACACGTCAATAATAATACGCAACGATTTTTATTTATAATGTATATGCACTTATAACTGAATTAAATATTCACAGGGGATTAGCAAACAGAATAAAATAGAAGTACTAGCATTTGCGACATGGATAAAATCCCATTTGTAAAATATTATATGTTCAACAGATGTTCTCAATCCTAAGAGAAAATGTATTAACCTCAAAGTATGATCATGGTATTATGGCTCCTGCACACAAAACGCGGAAACGCTTGCCGTGCGACAAGAAGTAACGTGACAGCCAATAAACTTTTAGGAAGCGACGTGATTGGCATACTCTTTAAAAAATATGCACCAATCAGATGCAAGAATCGAGCGCTCAATGATTGAGCGATTGTAGCCTGGACGCACCCATGGCTGTGTTCAGGAAACAACAGTGAGTAATTCATCAACGTCATTGGTCTAAATTGAAGGATCTAACTATAAAAACCAATAATCACTGACCGTTCATTGATCGCTTTGTCACACTGAAAACAATCATTAAATATGGCTAAGTTCGTTTTGCTTCGTATAGAATGCATCGTTCCAACTTTTTTCAGTATGTGATAAAAAATAAAAATAGAATGCTTCCAGTACAAAAGCGTACAAGACAAATTTAGCCTGCGCATACAACTTTATCGACTTCCGGTGTTCTATTAGTACACAACGAAAGTAATAATATATAGTGATAATACGTGTGTTTATATTTATACATAAGTCTCAAGTTCTTTTTTTACATAAAAAATCTAAATATTAAATACAATAAAAATTATATTTTTTTTAAGAGAAGATAAAGCTACAAAGGATATCAGTTTGGAAGATTATTGTTTAAATTGTAAATGCATTGAGGAAATTTATAATTTCAAAATGCAATGCAATCATACATATAAGTGAAGGAAACAGATATAAATAAATCTGATAGAATAATTGATAGTTTTAAAAAAATTCATTGAGTTACTGACATCAGAAATATCTCAATCATATAAAAGGTGATAGTTTAAAGAGCCACCAGATGCATCTCCTTGCCATCAATTATGATAGTCCATTCGTGTTAGTTTTTCTATAAAAAAAAAAAGGGGGGTATAAATAAGATAATATTATTAACATATGTACTACATAAGTTTTTAGAATAATATTTAAAATATTGATATGTAATGTTTACTTCCATTCATAATCTTGAACTAAGAATAACTTAGTCAATTAAAACTTATAATCAAGGAATATCTTACAGAAGTAATAAATAATAGTTAGATAAATTTATTACAGAAATAAAACATAGGTTACAAGTTAAGAAACATAATAAAGATTAAATAAACATTATCTAAAGTGAAGAGATAAACATTGGTTAGGAGTTATATATAATACATGAAAATAAAAATGCAAATTACCAATAACTCTGGTATATAACGGAAGCAATAATTACTTATACATAAGACTTAAAACACAATATATCGTTATCAGAATTGCACTTATGCCAATAAATGCATATTCTCTTACCATCTTCCAATTCTTAACATTGATTTTTTTCAATATTAATGAAAACATCTTCAATACAGAGGTAAAATATTTATGTATCCTTACATATATACCAGGTTGTGTTGATTTACTGTTGTTTATCAACACACTTTTCGCCTCATTTTTTGAATATTTGAAGATCTGTAAATCGTTTTTGCCATTATCAAGTGTAAAACTTCTTTTAGATTCATGCTGCTGATCTGAAACTAAATATATTCAACTATTTATGAGATCTTACATACTGTTTTCAACTCAATAAAATTATCTTATTACCATTATGAGCAAGAGTAACATCTCCTCCTGCAAAACTGATAGCATCAGTGCCCCAACCTGTTTTAATATTGTTGCTTTGTTTGTTTTGGGCTTTAATATTTGAAAAATCTGTAGTAATAGATTCAGTGGTTTTCGCATTAGATTGGTTGGGGCACTCTGAATCCTATTCTTTATGTTTATTAACACTGTCATTGCGTTTAGATTTGGTGTCGAGTGAGTTTAGCAGATGATGTGAGTTTAGCAGATCAGAGTGACCTGATTTAATCATATCTTCCACCCATTTTTTCAATTCACTGTTGTATTTTTCTTGTAATTGCTTTGCTTCAGTGTAATATTTATCTTTATCTTTTGTTGTCATATTATTCCATTCATTAGAAATATTTTTTACCCATTCCTAGAAATATATATATATATATATAAACATATGTTATATATTCATGACATTGTTTCCAAAGATAAATAAATATAAATAAATAAACAAATAAATAAATAAATATATATGCTATTTAAATATCCTTAATTGAGTCTTTTTCAATGCCTCAATAATTATACCCAAATTGGCCAAACCTGCGCAAACAAATTTCAAGCAGAGCCTATTACAAATTTTTAATAGCAATAAGGCAACAAATCTAACAAGTTATATTCTATCAGATTATGTTACCAAAGTGCTACCAGAAATTGCAACAGAGCCTGATGACAGGCAATGCAAACAGATTGATAGCAAAAATGTAGCAAAGTCATAGTAATCTGACAGCAGAATTGAACTGCAGAAGTCAAGTAAACCTTGTTGGGCACAATTTGACAGTAGACTCTGTGCAGTTTCTACTGCCAATTTACTCGCAATGCCTGTCAGCACACTCTGTCGCCAAAACAAGAATTGAATGAGGGTATGATAGGCCTGAGGTTTGGCAGCCTCACTCGATATGAAACTGCTGCTTGGTTGTTAACAATTTGCAAGCAAATGGTTAGCTGGGTATATTATTGTATGAACAAATAAATTTTAATATATGAGGAATTAATATGTTAAAATTTAATATTTAACTATATACTTTTCTTTCCTACACATAACTTTAAATACTATTAATTTTAGATATTGTAACCAAGAATAAATAACTGAGAACACTAAGAAATCACCTTTTGTGATATTGTTGAATCTTTGTCAGCCTTCTTATTCATCATAAATATGAAATAAGCACTTAATGGTCGTTTTGGTTTACCAAGTTCCATAAGCTTCTGTTAGGAAAATAAATCAATATTAAATTCACATAACTTGGTTTGAATAGTCCAATATAGAAATATTTGTGTATGTGTATATATATATGTATATATATATATGTACTTTTTTGGTTTGGTTTTTTTCCGAAGTGTTTTTCTTTTTCTTTAATTCATCTATTATTAATATTCTTTGTTCCTTAGTTAGAGAATTATTGTAGGCATCTAATTTTTGTTTGTATATAGCGAATTCATCCTCATGTTGCTTTTGAAGTTGCTGCTTTATTGTTAGATCAACTTTTGTCCATTCCTGAGATATTTTTTTAACAAGTTCTATATACTTAATATCTGGATGTTCTTGTTGCCATTTACTTTTTATAGATTGAAAATATAGCAAATATGCATTTAGTGGTTTCTTTGGTTTTTGTGGTAAAATAGTTTTTTCTACGTCATGTTTAAGTTTAGGTCCACTTTTTATTGTGGCTAATTTCCTGTGGATAGAAAAATCAAGCTTCATTATTTATAGTATTGATAGTAAACTACTTTTGTAAAAATGATGTAAAGAAAAATCACGAAAATTGTTTATGTTATTAATCATTAGATTATAAACAATTACATTAATTTTAATATGAAATTTTGGTAAAATAATTTTTTAATTACAGCATCGCGCATATGAAAAAATTTTGTCACGATTGTTCTGAATTAATATAGTGTCCTACGATGTTCAAAAGCTATTTGGCAAATTTATTTTGAATTTAAATAATCAGTTATGAAAAACTAAAAATACTATACCTCGTACACAAAATATTAACCGGACCATTAGGAGACAATAACCTCCAAGTCGCCATGTTCATAGTATGCAAGTACCACGCTAAGTTTATAATACAAACCACGCGTCGACTCCGTACGTGAGTTATCCAAGCAAACCGATGTTCTTCCGCCGATTCTCTATTTTTATACAATCATTGATAATGCGTTATTAAAGACCTTCGACTCAAGATCAATTTCTGTTACTTTAAAAGTGCTACACTCGGCAGTACAGAGAACTCTTTAAAGTGATTAGTGATTCATGATCAGGGGGGGTCGATTGTGTATCTCAAAATGTAATGAGAATTATAAAAATAAACAAATTCACTAGATATTGACCATTGAAATTATAAATATTCTCGTAAACTCGCTCATTTATGTAATTCTCATTACGTTTTGTGGAATCGACTTCCTAATTGGTGTATATTTTTAGGTCATTATTAGATCTGAAAGAGTCCAAAATTACTTTTTTATTATTTAACTTTCTATCGCATTATTTAACCTGCACTTTATCTAATTCTGTTTTTTATTAAATTTATTAACTTTATTTATTTTATTATTATTAGCTTTATTTAACTATTTAACTAATACTTTAACTTTTAAATTATATTTAAGGTTTCATACACTTTTAAACAATTTTAAAATTTTCTTAAGTTTTTCAACTTTTCAACAATTTTGATTAACAAATCAGACGCAATTCTAAACCACGATATAAGAATAGCTAGACACGACGCATTCATTCCACAAATAATACCTAGTGACCCTAATCCGAAGAATTGGTCTTTCTCGATGTTGGCAGCCCCTATTAAATTTACGTTTTCGCCGCAGGTGGCCTTCAAGATAATCAATTTCGGGTTTCCATCATAAGAATGCCATCACTATTTTCGACCGTCGATGACTTCAACGCAGTGGTCATACCAATTAGGACTGTTGTCACGGATTACTTTCAACCACTGCTCTCACACGATTCTCGTATGCGTCTTTTCAAATTCGAATGACGCGTATCGCGTCATTGCGCATGAAATCGCTGTCATAACAGGGTAGTCGTGAGTTGTTGAAACACTGTCGACGACTCGAGCTAAGCGGCTCGCTAATGTCGATCTTCGGTTAAATATTTTTCGGAGAGTTCCCATATACACACAAATAGTGCCGGCCGATTAATCGCGTATCCGCACAGATTTGGGGGAAAATTATGTAGCTGCAATGGTTGCGACCACAGCGACTGATATGACTGGTCCCATATATCATGAGCGACAAGTAATTCGATAATGTTATCGCATTCGGTATAGATTGTCTTTATGCACTTGCATTACACAGAAAGTAAACTCAGCACAAGACGAAGTACTCGTTGACAGAACATGAATGTTTAAAAACTCATATTTGTAGAATCTTGAAATCAATGTTTTTCTAAATTGATCTGTCAATTTTATAAAGATTGTAAATCGAATTGTAGGTGAAGGAGCTTTGTGCTTTACACGCGCTAAACAACTTGTTTCAAGAGCGTGGATTTAGCAAGCAAGAATTAGACCAAATCTGTTATAGTTTAAGTCCCGATGTTTGGATTAATCCTCATAAATCACTACTAGGACTTGGAAACTATGATATTAATGTTATCATGGCTGCTCTCCAAAAAAGGGGACGTGAAGCTGTATGGTTCGACAAACGTAGGTCTGTACGCCTGGATACATTAGCAAAATTGTGATTATTTTATTACAATTGCAAACTGGGATATTACTAATAATGTCTGCTTCTATTTTAGAGACCCCAAGTGTCTTCGCTTAGACAACATCGAGGGTTTTATACTTAATGTCCCAACTGAATACAAGCTGGGTTTTGTGCTACTTCCTTTGAAACGACGTCATTGGATTGCTCTGAAAAAGATTCACGGTGCCTTTTATAATCTTGATTCAAAACTGGATTCACCGCAATTAATAGGAAAGGTTAATAAACGTGATAGTATTAAAACAAAAATATTTTCACACAGACTTATACGATGTTCACTATTTTGTGTCTTTTCTCATATTAGGACAACGATTTACTCATATATCTAAAGGACCAGATAGATAGTAAGGAGAAAGAGTTATTCCTTGTTGTATCTAGAGAGATTGACAACAACCAAGGATGGTTGATAGATACAAGTGAAAATAAAGATGACAATAACACAGATCACGATTCGATTAGATATATCGAAGACGGATATCCTGATATAGATTTGAAGAAGTCAGAATCCAAAGAGATGAATGAGAACGAGGAATTTCTAGATAACAAAAATTCTAGATAATTGGGGCCATTATACGCATGATCCATTTAATTGTTTATTTATTTATTGCTTTGTTACGAATTTGAGTGGGAGCGACCTTGATTGACATAGAAGACCCAGAATTATGAAAATAAAGAGAGCGAAGACCAGAGAGAAAGAGAGAAAAAGAGAGAAGGAAATAATGGAAATTGCACGTAATAAGTGTCTAACTGAGTATCTCACTACAAGAAAGAATATTCTACAAGAATATTTCCACTCATATCTACATGTTAACACAAGCAAGACATTTTTTTTATTATTAATGTATATCCTCTCTTGTGTGAGAAGGGGCCCACTTGTAATGGCACATACCACACTGGATACACTACATATAGTGTGCAACACCTTGTGGGTAACGATGCAATCTAAGAAATAGCGTAAGAGAATGTAACGTTGTATTTATTCAGGATGAAAACATCGCTTTATTAAAACCAACATGTGTAAGAGGATAATTCGTATTTAAGAAACAGCAGCTACCCATGTGAAAGAGTATTTACGTCGTGAAAGAATATATACATGTACATGTACGTGATATTATTTATTGTGATAATCATATCTGTCATTTTAAAAGGCTTGTGTAAATAAACAGACACTTGTAATACAAAATTGTTACGATACCTTAGGTGCAATTAATTCTTTCACGCAATGAAAACGCTTATAATTTATTTCATATATGTAATTTGTATGTATAAAATTTATATTTAAGTATTATTGTGTGTTTATATCATAAGAGCGTAAAGTTTATTTTTATCATCGATATGCTGGTCTATGAACATATATCTGGTGTATGAACATATATTTAAGTCATGAATTTAAGTAAGCAGCAAGTAAGTATAATTAGCAATAATTTATTTATTTTTGTTATTGTACAGCCACAAGAATAAAAAGAACGATTCACTATACCTAATGTATGTACATCCCATATAAATGATAACGATATCTATAATGTCATTATTGCGTATTACCATTTTATCGCGAGCGCTGTATTCATCTTTTGTATTTCGTGATACTGCGTACTGAAATACGCGCTAACTTTGTCCGTATGTTCTCCTCCTAGCCAAGTTTTGTACAAGTTCCGTATCACTTTATTTTCCTCGGGATTACTCGATGGAAGTTTATGGTACATATTTTCTAACGTCGATGCGAGTTCTCGAGGTTGCACGTTTCCTTCGGGTCTTACTTGGGCTCCACCGTTTAAGCAACCTAGCAATAATTGCATTAAAACGTTTGTCTTAATCATTTGCACACCCGATTATAATACATTATTTTTAATGAAACGATAATTACCACACGGGCATGCCATAATTTCCACATAGTCGTAAACGCATTTACGTCTTTTCATTTTTTGAACTATATTTTGGATATTCCTAAACCCATTGATAATGGCGAATTTCAACAGCACTTGATCGTTTCTCTTCAACTCCGCTTCTTGGAAATCGGGATTTCTAAGATTTTTGAAATCCACCGTGACACTTTCCTCGTCGAAAAGATTCTTCGCTGCATAACGAAAAATGAAGTCTGCGTAACCACCTGACCCCGATCCACTGTGACCCCACAATCTATTCTCAATTTCTTTCCCATAGGAACCGAATGGTTGTTTGATTTCACCTTCATCTATCTCATTTAATATTAAACCATCTTCATTGAGCATCTGTTCCAGTTCAACTGAAAGATGCACAGCGTAAATCGTAATTTCTATATTTAAATCTAGTTAATCTCCGAATGATTTGGTGAATAAGTAAATATGTACACACTTGATGTTATAACACAATCTACGTCCCTCGTCTCCTTTTGCTGATTATAAAAGTCTTCTCTAGAAGCTTCCAACTTCTTATCATAACAAGGCATTACAGTCACATGATACACTTGTTCTGGCGAAAGACCCATAATCTCGGCTAAGTGATACTTTACTAAAGATCCCATAATTTGTTGAGGTGATTTTGTGATGCTTATGTATGGCAATATAAAATTTCCATGAGTTTTCTCAGCGTAACATACCCAACCTGCGATGCAGAAAATTGAAAATTTGTAAACTTGAGGAACAATCAACTTGCAATGTCTTATGTCTTCTTTAAATTATTTGTTTACCTGGACAAGAAGATGATAACATTGGTAATTGATCTTTCGCCCCCTCCTTATTGGCTTTATAACGCTCGACAAATTCTTTGGCTGCTTCTAATAAAGCAAAATCATCGGCCATGGTCATGTCTAATACCGTATCAGCTCCCAATCGATAAAAAAAACCTGCCAGTTTACAGAGAGCTTGTTCTGGTGTAAGTTCATAACGTTGCGCCAATGATAATACAGGTTGCACTGATAAGCTTACTACTATATATTTTGAATCTGTATTTCCAACATTCTGAAAGAATAAAAGATACCACAATTTTATATATATATACTACATATTTTATGTAGTTTTATATATCTAATAATAGTAGACTATATGAATATATAGGATATATATGAATATTAGAGATATGTTTCCGCACTAATCATATTTATATAATATTTAAAAATCTTTATTATATATTAAAATTTATTACCTGTTGGGCTACTTTTTCTTGAAATACTCTGAGTAGTTCCTCTCGACTTTGTTGAGTAACTAGCACACTCTCAGCAGATGTAATGCAACCACTGCATGCTAGACAGTCTGCAAGTGTGATCTCGACCTTTTGCAACTTCTCAGGCTGTCCAATCTATATTGTAAAATAAAATTTACTGAAACAGTTTTAAACATGTTTCAATAAAGTATGTGAATATATTGTGATAATTTACTTCACTGATTGCTGAATATGCATTGTCTGATTGTATCTTTATTTTAGAACCAGTTTTACTTCCGCTTGACTTCATTTCTATTGGCTTAATGCATTCCTAGAAAAATACAATTTAAAGTAAAGCATAAAAATCAAATTGCGATTAATTCAGAATGAATATTATCATCATACCTGCGATGGAGTGATAAAGTCATCCAAATTGGTAATCTGTAATGCTCCACTGAATCTCGATGCCATTTTTACCAAATTTGCTTTATGACCAACTATTTTCTGTTCTTATACAACAAAAATAGAAAAAATAAATAGAAAAATAGATATTAAAGTTTCCTCACATCCATCACAATCTTCTAAATTTTCTTATTAATATAAACTGTCATTATTTACTATAAATTGTATAAATATAACTTTTTCTTAGATTATTGAACAATAAACGTTAATGTCACAATATCAAGAAAAACTAACCTCATCACCACACTTCTAGATGGACTATCAAACTATCAACATTTCTATAAATTCATATTACAAATCTTTTGTACTGCAATTTGTATATACGTTTGAGTTAAAAATAATATATCAAGAATAATTCACGTGATAAAAAGGATAAAGAACTTGCCAATCAATCTAGTACAATAAACCACTATACTCAACCGTTTATTTTACTTTCTCTTTATTCAAGTGAATACCCGAGCTTTCTTCCACACGTCTATATCTTGATACGTGTAAAAATATTGATCTTTTGTTTAAATTTGGATTTTTTTAGAACAATTCAACTTTACTTCCGCTGAATAAAGAAATTACTCAGCTCGCGCGCCACGACAAGGTGCTGGAACGAAGTATTTACGATCATGACAACGTGTTTCCCTCGCCACATGATTCACTGACTTGCGCCTGAGAAGCCGCAACCGTACCGTTGTGCGAGTGGTCGTATTAGCATTATTAGGGGCACGATTTACTCACAAATTTATAATAATGACCGAAGTGAGGAAAGACGATGTTATAAAAATTCTCCATACCTATCCTCTTTGTAGAGTAAGTAAAATGCTCTTCGCGCGCTATTTATTCTATTGGAATTCGCTGCGTAAAACAAACGCGAATAGTATTTGATCAATAAGCTTTGCTACGCGTTTGCTTTACGTCAGTGTGATCGGTTTTTCTAATTAAAAATATATACTGCATAAAAAAAAATGTATTGTAAAATTTCATTTGATAAAATATGTAGCGAAATGTAGAAATTATATGCAAGGTACTTTGCTCATGTACATTAAGTAAAATTTTTGATTCTATTTAAAGAATTTATTGTTACAATCTTATGTATCTCTTTTATTAATCTATGTTATTGTTGTATGGATATAATTTCAAAAACATTAAATAAATCTCTATGTCGATTATCAATTAATACAAGAATTATTTAAAAATAAATATCTATGTATCAATTGTTCAAGCTAGTGAATTATTTCCAAGGATTGCTTTTTAATCATGTACTTCCTTATATTTGTTGACAGAAATGTGATATGTCTGATGAGATGAAACAAGAGGCAATGGAATTATGTGTGACTGCGGCTGAGAAGTATGCAGACAACTATGAGAGTGTTTCTCGAATGATTAAGGAAACCATGGACAAGAAATTTGGTGCATCATGGCATACTGTCGTTGGAGAAGGCTATGGTTTTGAAATCACTTATCAATTGAAACACCTTCTGTATATGTACTGTGCCGGCAATTTAGCAATATGCATATGGAAATCTGCATAGTGCAGCTTTGGCTATTGAAATGAATGTAACAGATTGTATGTGTAAAATTATTTTCTTGTGAATATATGTCAAATGAATTTACAATATTATATGTATTATAAGTCACATGATATATAAGGAGAAGAATAGGGAATATGTCAATGTCTTATAAACGTGGGTCCAATATGTGTTTAATTTAAACGTTTTATGTTGTCATAATTAAATGTAATTATCAGCAAAACCAAACAAATAATCCAATTTATATATATATATATATA